TTACCAAACCTGCAGAGTTTTTTTTTTTTTTTTTTTGGGATCTCTGCGGTTGGGTTTTGGCCTTTGTTTGTATTCAGATAAAACCCCATCTAAGTTATGCCAAAACGCACTCGAGCAGCTCTCAAGGCGAAAATCATGAAATATTTATCAGATGTGTGTCTGTGCGACTGTGTGTATGGGTGTATGTGTGTGTAAGACCCCAAAAGCCGACTGATTAAAATGCGGATATGCTGACAGCTCGCCCATACATAACTAACTCATTTCGATACGGAAACGGGCCACGCCCCAATCATTTGTTAAACGCCCCATGGGCGGCATCATATCATTTACCACCGACCTGATAATCAATCATAATGAAAGGCACAAATACCAGCGCACACACACACGCACACACACACACCCACATATGTGTGAGTTTTAACTATTTTACAATAATTTAACTCAAGTAAAGCAAACTTTTCATACTAATTAACAAACACTTGTGGTCCACGCCCGCACACCCGCACGCCCCTTACATAATTATGCACAGGTTAATTGACTTGCCCATTAGGCCAAAAGGTAAACTTTAAGTTGAGCATAAAATTCAAGCATTAATGAAAAGAAGCAGAAACACAAACAGCAAGCAGTTAAAGCCGACTGCCCAAATGCCCTTACACCTTGGGACCATAAATGTAAAAGTTTTCGTCCAGCTGCTGCTGCTGCTGCTGCTGTGGGAAAACAAGTTGCCAAAACTTTCATTCATTCAGCTCGGGCATACATTTTATTGCCCAGCTTGGCCAGAATTGATTGAGGTCCACGCACAGCGAAGACAATCGAAATTGCTGGTTGATAACGGTCGGGCCTCTGCGGGGATCCAGCCGGCATTCAACTTGAAATCAATGCCCCTCTAGCGGCCTAGTTCACGTTCTCACACCCAGCAGGCTTTCATTCATCACTCCACACACAGCTTCAGACAGTTCTCATTTGATTTGCCATCTCAAGTCGAAATTCCAAATAAAAATATTTCCATTTCTCCAAATTGATTTGGCCATGCATAATCACTTCATATCCTTTGTGGTCGGCGGCGTCGTCGGCTTTCTAGTGGCAAAGCACGGCGTAAGTAATCTATGTCGACTCACATTCATATTCATTGAAGCTTGAGCGCTCCTATTTTTCCTCAGCGGTTTTGAAATGGCGCCCAGTATGAATGAACCCAGGAGCAAAATCCCGAATCCCGTTTAAAAAGTATCTCAAGTAATTCCAGACTTTTACTCTCCCCTTTTGTAACCCAAACTTGCAGTTCACAGTTTACCAGGCAACGACTCAATATGCTTGTCGCATTTCTCTTTGGCTTTATCGCGGGCATGATTTTTTGTTGCAAGCAACGGAAATGCCGCCCATAAGTTTACTAATTTATTAACAATAAACAAAAAAAATTATAAAAAATCAATTCATCTTGAATATAATCATAGAGTTGTCTCTAAATATAAGTATATTTCTCTTAAGCAAATATAAATGATAATATGAATCTTCTCTCAAATCTGCTTAACGGCTTCTCCCTACGCCAATGACATCATTCATTAGACATTAGTTTATTATTATTTTAWATATATTTTGAATTTATGTTTCCTCTCATATTCCCTATTCCAATATCACCAATTGCATTCCAATCATTACCTTCACTCAATATCATTTTATCATTATTTATTGCTTTTATACTACATATTTCTAATATTATTGCACTTTATCTAGTTTATACATATTTGATTTATATGTCTTGATAGGATATGTTTCAGTTTCTTCAATCGGTAATTTGGTAACCTGGTTAGGGTGGACCACAACGTTTGCACAGCATCAAGCCCGTTATTAAACCCAGGCCATATGATATAATGTGACTCATCATGAAGATCTAGCGGCTGAGATTAGATATAAATATATATAAATATATATTTTATTTATAAACTTACAGAAAAAAATGTCCTTACACTAGATAATGTGGTTATGAGCAACGACGTCTCCCCTCTGAGAAATTTCCTTACTAAACAAATATATATGTATGAAACAGAAAGCAAAGTCTACTTATATACAACAAAATGATTTGCTCTACCTCATGTGAATTTTTCATCTAGTTTCTCGACTTGCTGGAAGCTCAACAATGAACGCCAATTAAATAGCCAAGAATGCAGCCCACCAGTAGAGTGACTAGCCAATCCAACTCCATTTTCTTTTCTGTTTATATACCCCTATCTACTTGAATTACCTTGACGAATCCAAAAATTTTGAAAATCCAAAAAAAAAGGTTGTGTAGAGAACGATACGATACTCACGAAACACTACTTTATACTGATCTAATTCCTTGGGGTTGCTTGGAAAGTGACGTCTCCAAGCATGCTACTCGAAAAGCGAAAAATTTTAGAATCAATTTTAGATGAGGCAGAACTCTCAAGAACTTTGATTAAAGATTATTGGAATTTGATGTAGAGAAGGGCTTTTATAAAACATCGAAAAGCATCTAGTTATAAAAACAACAAAAGATTTGTAACCTTAAGGTCCTCTCAGAAACGAGCTTTTTAGTGGTTAAAATAATCTCATTTATTTAAGTCAAGGTTCAAGCATTACGATTCACATTCAATTGTGGGAAATCCCAAGAAAATCTTCTCAAACCATTTTCCGTAAATCTGATAGGTCTGAATAGTTGTTTGCCAAAAGCTATTATTCAAAGGATTTCTCTTCATGCACCTTTAATGAAATTTATAGATTTTCAATGTCGTTTATAAGCTGCATTTAAATCATTTCTTACTTCTCTTTGCGGTTTACGAATGGAGACCGACTACAAAGCCCAGTACGCAACCCAACAGCAATGTAACCGCCCAAGTGTAATCCATTTTATAATTTTAATATTATTTAAAAAAAAAAGAAAAAGATAACTACGAAATTTTTACGTATAATTTTGTTAGCAGAAGAGTTTAAAATATGAAACTAACTAAATTCAATGCCTACTTGGCGGACACATACTAATATGATTATTGACAAGCGCTCTTTGTTTTGTATAGAAATTAGCTGAGTGCTGTGCAAGAGTTTTGATCGTTAAACATCGTTAGGGCACGTGAATTGAGTGTGAGCATGTGTATGTGAATGATAAGACCAGTTATATAGAGTTTTTCTATTATATTTGTTCACTAACTGAGTCTTATTAAACGAATGCCAATCCTATCTCTCCCTAAACGACGAGCGTCACACGAACAGATCAGCTCAAAATGCTAAATAGAATACAAAAACGAAAAAGCATAAAGCAAGAGAACTCTCTTGGGATGTTTTCAGTTGATCTCTTTAACAGAGTGAGAGCTATGATCATAGAATAGACATTTAAATAGACGTTGCTAATAACCACCTGCACCAACTGCGTGTTGGATTTCCGAAAGGAAAAAACCTGCATTTGCATATGAGCAAATCAAAATTTAATTAAATATATATTTTTGTAAAGAAATTATTAATAAAAGAAAATATAGTTGCTCTGTAATCCACCAAAGTTGAAGGGAAATTAAGCTATTTTTTTCAAAGGTTTCAGAAAAACCCATCACATAACTGGATCGAGTCCAGTTGAAAGTATATTATTGAAAGTATATTAGTCAGAGATCATACACTTCCTAATGTACACAGATTGATGTTTGTATTTGGGCCAACTGGGATGACAGCAGGCCGTTTTTCTGTAAGGCTGCTTCTGTCAGGTTTAGTCGACAAAACTATTTTCAGGCAGTCATACACACAGAGTTTTCGTAATACTGTTCAAAATTTCCCTGTTTTTTGCCTATTCGATTTTCTAGTTTTAACTTTTATTTTTCTTCCTTATTTAAAAAATAAACCTTTTTGTAATCACTCTTTGAAACCAGCCCGCGCATGTGTAATAAAGACTGTGGAGCACAGCGGCCCCAATCGGGCTGCCCCAATCCATCATGTAGGCCACCGCCGTCGCTACGTCCGACATGTCGGCCACCGCCGACGCTTTTCTCGAAGCTTAACTGTACGGCCTGCAATCGATTGTTTTTCTTCATTGTGGGCGCTGGCATTGGTCTGGCGATCGATGCAATTAAAGAGAGCGCCAGGAAAGCGCAGGAGGAAGCGAACAAAGATCCCAAACAGAAGGAGAAGGAGAAGAAAGAGAAGGAGAAACAGGAGAAGGCTGAAAAGGAAAAGAAGGAGAAAGAGAAGAAAGAGAAAGAAAAGAAGGCCAAGGAACAGCAGGAAAAAGAGAAAAAAGAAAAAGAAAAGAAGGCCAAGGAACAGGAAAAGAAAGAAGCAAAAAAATAACAGATCAACAGCCACAAAATTAAGTTAACTTAGGAACAGTAACGTTTGGGTTTAGTCATCAGATGAAATTGAATTCCAAAAAATAGATAAGATAGTGGCAGAACGGGATATGCCTTTACGCTAGCTAACTGTGTGACTCCAAATTAATAGTTTACTAAAAAAGTCTAAATTTAAAGTGCATTTTAATTAAAAATAATTATGTGCAAAATAAAAAAAACGCCGCGCAAATTCCCTATTTTTAAAGAGAAAATGTATTAATTTATAATTATAAAAGATTAAATTATTATTCGAAATGCTTTTTTTTCTCCTCTTTCGGTTTGACGTACCGAAAACAAATTATAATTATAATAATTCATTAATATTTAATTTCAAAAAAAATTGAGCTTAAGATTTATGCGAATATTGAAAATAATATTTAATAATAATATATTAATTAATACATTTTAAAGTAATTAATTAATATTTATGCGAATATTAAAAATTGAATTTAATAATATATTGATTAATAAATTTTAAAGTATTTAATTAATATTCAATTAAAAAATATATTGCAATTAGGATTTATGCGAATGATACAAATTATATTTTTTAGTTATTTTATTTTAAATACTATGCTCAGTTGCATTCCAGTTCCAGCTGCAAACTCTTCTTTAATTTTAAAGTCGGTATTCTAATTGAATTGATATTAAAAAACAAAAAAAAAGTTTTAAGAATGGTTTGCATTGATACGGGAACTTTTTAATCTGAGTATCATTTACAACTGTATAAATAATGAATTAACCATGTATTCGTGTCCCGTTCTTCACGAACGGAGTCCCCATGTAGAGCAAAGGGTAGACACAAATAGCGATTACTCTCTGGATTCGCTGGTTAGTCTTCTGGCTTACTATTTCTCTTCCTTCTGTCGGTCGGCATTGAGTTCTTTATTCCGCAGGAAGAGTGCACCAAGTCCCACCCCAACCATGAAGAACAGAACATGATTACATGGTTTACAATTCAAGCGCGAGAGCAACGATGGCTGTGGTCTGCACATAGATCGTCGCATCTCTGGCATTTTTATTTATACTGGATAAATGATGTTTAAATGTTATTTCGACTCTAAAGCGTTGAACTGAATATCACATTTTGTTCGATAAACTGTATGTAAATCGTTTGACAGATGTTCATTGCATGGGCGATGTGATCGGACCAAACTAATTCCATTTTCATTTTCATTCATTCTAAGATTCCGCACAATTTCTCTTAGCGTTTCAATCATATCGATTATCTGTCCCTTCGAATGCTAATCTTCGCTTATGTAGAATCCTTTTTCCGTATTTCTTGGAATTTTTTGCGCCATCTTTACATTTAAGAGCCCAACGTTCGTCCTTCTGTTATGTTGCTTAAATTGTATCTTCACTCATGACTACTTCTCAGGCTCTGGATAGTTTGCACTCGTTACACGCAAGCATCGCTGTGATATTGTCCGAAACTTCTGAGTAAACAAGGCGGCGCAGTGTTCGGCCTCTACTTCTTCTTGGCTTTCTTCTCATCCTCCTTCTTCTTGTCATCGCCGAAGGTCTTGCCATACCAGAGGCTAACCAAAACGCCGGCAATCACTGCTGAGATGCGCTCACAACACATCTGCATCTTTAACTTGGATTTGTATAATAAACTATTGCCGAAATCTGTTCAATTTACTCTATAATTTTGTTGGAATTTATGCAAAAGTTTTGCTGCGTGTAGTCGAGCTGAGTAAACTAAATATGTTTAATGACCCCCTAGCTACTATGTTCAAGTGTGACAATCAAAAGGCAAAAGCCTACTTTGCATAAGGTTTTCGAAACTCCCCCATTCCGACTTCTTCATCAAGTGCTAAACAACTGTCAAATTAAAGACTGGCCCAACCAAATTCACCCTCAAATTGCGGCCTGCTTATGCCTGAGGCTCTGCCCTCAAAGGCACGCTTAAGTATATATCTTTATGTATATATCTATGTTTGTATATCTTACTCTGGCATCAGCTATTTGGCTCTTTTCATTCCTGTCTGTTTTTTTTTTTTTTTTTTTTTTTGGGTCACATTATAATTTCATTTGACAATTGTGGCACATCAAGTTGTCACAAGTTGCGTCTGTTCATGCCATACGTTGAGCGCTACACCAAAAAGACTTCAGTTGAAGAGCTCGAAATTATGCGCTGTATCAAAAATTAATGCTAGAGTCGCTGCAGGGAATACCCTTACTTGTCAGTGATATAGGGTTTAGTTGTCGTCAAAATAATATATATTTATATAAACATTTATATATTTTTTTCCTGAATTTATGATTTATTTGCCAACTGTCTTAATGTTAAAAAATAAGAAAAATATAAAATACTATAATATAATACATTCTAAAAAAATATTTTAATCATAAACAATTTTTTATACATTACTACTTTATTTTTGAACTTAATAAACCAAGCAACTATTGCTGTAAGTCGCAATGGTTGTTCAATTGTTTTTATATAAGACATCAATTTAATAAAATATAATGTATAATTCTCTTTGATTATGCAGTTTATGCAACTAATTGAGCATGTTATACCCTTTCAAAAGGATTATGAATTAAATTTACGTCTGTTGCTCATTCTATCAAATTTGGTGCCTCATCAATTATTTATAAATTGAATGTCGCATAAATAATAAATTTATTGACGACACGAGCTAATAAAATGCTTTTAAGAAGTTTTAACAAAAGTTCTGCCATTGAATTAAATCGATATTAAATTTAAAATGAGTATTAAATTTATGAGTAAACCTAGAGATATTTAATGCGGAAAAATATAATGAAGAATTTTGAAAATTAATTCGTGTTTAAATAAAAAATAATAAAAAAATTAAATAAAA